GAGTGATACGTACTGTGCTTCAATATTACCGTATTGTGTGTGTATAACCTCATTTTTAAGTTTTGTGGATATTATCCATGGTTATGCTGAGGATACGTCGGCCAATTTCCACTGGAAATGCCTTTTGGCTAAACTGCCAGCAAGGAATTTGCATTTTCACTGTTAAATTTTTATGTAGCTTTAATGCACATTAAAAAACAGCTGCTTGCTTTTTTTGTTGTTGTTTTTTTTTGCACTAATAAAGTTGCAGAGTTGCAAAGTATTGTGTCTAGTGTCAAATTATATCGTCAGTTATAAAGTTATCGCAAATTTTCAAATATATATCGTGATAAATATTTTTGGCCATATTGCCCTGCCCTACACACAGACATGGATCATACTTACTAAGGTCATCCACTCCTGTGCTATTGCAGTGGGCCATGCTGAAAATAGATCTTCTTGAGTCCACTAGGAGGCGATAGTATCCTGCTGTTAGACAAGCCAGGTTCATTGCATCACTTGACTCCATGATCAGTGTGATGGGCTGTGAAAACAAAAAAGGGAGGATGTGTAGAAAAAAAATAGTTAAAAAAAACAACAGATGCTAAAATTAATGCAAGGCATTTTTGGGGTGGGGGGAGACTTGTTTTCAAAGACAGCTGTGCTCTGCTCTCACCCTGACGTCCAGAACATGCAGCTCCAGCCGGACATTGGTCTCATCCTCAGTGAGGATCTCAATGCGATTCACATGGCTGAAGTCAGCCAATAGGGCCACCAGGTTTGTGCGGGCATTGATGACGTGGCTGATGCCGTAACGTGGGCCCACTAACAGCGTCACCTCTGTCTGTTTCTCACCTTGCTGCGGATTTCAAAACAAACAAACAAATTAAAATCAGCGAAAAGCTCAAGAAGAACTGACATTTACTCTCAAATTTTTCACAAGGCTTCCTGGATCAAATGGGCTTACCAACAGTATTGATTTGAACTCCCTCCCTCCAAAGAGTCTGAGTTCACTGAGGTACCTCAGGTAATGCACCTTGGCCTGCAAAGCGGTCAACTGTGCAGAGAGGAGCAAGGACATTAGTAAGAATCTGAAAAGGAAATAGCTTCCACCACAAGCAAATGCAATTTGTCTTCTAATGTCAGGATGTAAAGCACTCTCAAAACTATTTTGATCTGGCCCGCTGATTTTCCATTATATCCCATCATGTCATTTATATCTGATAAGGTTCCAAAGAGCTGCTCCACAGCAGTGCCACTCTTTACACCCTGCTTTTGTGGAGTTGTGCCTCTCCTGTGAGTGTGATTTAAACTCGAGATGCCAAACATTACAGCTGCTTTCATTTTACTCCAGTGTTCATTCATTCATGACCTGAGGTTTTATCCCTTCACTCTTAATTCCAAAGTGTAGTCCAGCAATATTTTACTGTGCAGTCAGCCTCACATAGAAAATGCTAATGGGAACGTTTGATCTCTGTGAATACATTTGATTAGCTAGTGCCAATCGAGCCGCTTGGCCTTATGCACATGGGCTGAAGCTTTGGTGTGTTTCAACTGATATACATTCATCACCTACAACATAAAGCTGCATTACTTTGATTAAACTGGACAATTAAACTGGAGTAATATCAGTTTGCCTGCTGATAATTGATGTCGCCAGCATTCAGGTTCTTTGCCCACTTCTGCTTTAGAGTGGCTCTTTGTATATTATGATGTACAGACGTGTTACAAATCAAAGAAGCACAGGCACTGTGCCTGGCTTGGTGCTTTTTGAGACCCAGCCCATGTTTCAACGTGCTCGGGAAGTTGTACATGAGCTTATGATGTGTTCTGGAGTGGAGAATGGGGGTCATTTGAAAAAAAAAATCATGGTGGACATAGCCTTTGCACCTTACTGTTGGTTCTTGATGGATTAGATCAAGGGTGGTAAACATATGACCCAGGGGCTAAAATCAGCCCAGCAAAGACTCCAATCCAGGCCACTGGATAGCTTTAGGAAAATTTTTGTATTTGCTTAATTGAAGTTTTAAAGCATTTCCTGCTGATAAAGGTGGCCCACATCACCATTCATATTACAACAAAGTACCAGGACCTTTTCTACAATTTTACACATTTAGTTCTTGCACTTTAAGCCCAAAGCTGTCAGAGTGCTTTCATTTACTACAGCATTTCTTTATCATGTAGAAAAACTGAGACATGCTGTTAAAATTGTACTTTTTTAGTTAAACTTCTGGAAAATGGGCGTTTCAGTGGTCTCACCCACTTAAGATCACATTGGGCTCCATACAGCCCATCGTGTAAAATGAGTTTGACATCCCTGGATTAAATGACGGATCCAGACAGATGACACACTATTCTTCTAGGTATTGCCTCACTTTGTGTTTAGATAATGACAGTTGGGCCTAAAACGTTAGCACAAAATGATCCCATAGCACAAGACAGCCATTAAATCCCCTTCCTATAGGAGTCAAAGGCTCAGGTTTTGCTTTGATTTGTCTGTCAGATGCAAATGGTTTCATTTATTAGTTTAGAAAACTGAGAATCTGACTCTAAATATGCATCATATTTCATAGCAAATAACAGAAATGAATGATCAAGAGCTCGGCTGCAATATGAGACTTGTTTTGTGGGGTCGTAAAATGGTATGAAATATGTGTATCCTCGAGGAGAAACTTGTGCATACATAATATTCAGTCGGAATGAATACATGTTTGGTGCTCCAGTGAGCATTTGTGGAGACTCGACTATGCATGTGAGATCAGCTGTGAGCATTAGGGATATATGTTCATTGCAATAAATGAAAATTTCCATCAGTGCAATGCTGTGGTTCATCCATGTGTTTTTAATTGAATACATTTAGCTTTTGTTATTTATAGAAATGAGCTACAGCATGGCCTAGTTCAGTGTAACTTAAATGCTGCACACTATGTGAGATTTGTCCATTCTATGTGTAGAAGAGAAGCCATAACCTGATATGGGTTAGTATCGAAATCAGCTGATCTGCTGGGATTGTGGCTGAACTTGAGCTGGTGGTCTGTCTGAACTAATGCCATGCTCAATTTGCTGTTTCACAGCATTGTTTTGGAGCTTTTTTAGAATTTAAGAAATAATATCTACTTCCTACATCATGCATCAAATACAACATGTCCAGAGTTGATTTACGCAGCGAGGCTCAGAAATGTGAGCCCATGGCCTATCCCATGACTCTATGGGACATTAAAGTCTGCAAGAACTCACAAACAAGTGCTGATGGCTTACCATGAATACACTCTATCTAACTCTGATTCACTAACAGAATTTGCATGACAGCTGATTGTAAATCACTGGGTGCCGCTGAAACTCTTGCAAGGGTCGGCTGCTGATTTGTACTTGTCAAAGTTCATATGGGTGCTGGAGAATGAGAAGACTGGCAGCTGCTTGCATCATTAAAACAGTTTTTTGTTTTTGTTTGTTTTTTTAAAAAAGCTAAAAAGTTCAGCCCAAGTTTGATTAGCTGCCCCTGACTGGAACATGTGTGCGCTTTTAAATTTAAATATCTTATTATGCATAAAGTTTGACAATCCATTGTTATTCACATTAGCATTCAAGGTCTAGCTTGACAAAGGGTCTTAGGTTGACAAGGGTGAGAACCTTTACAAGGTGGAGTATGGCAGCGATGCTATTTTAGGATATTGCGTCAGAAAACGGAGAGGCAGTGTGTTTGTGTGCATGTGTGTGTGTCAGAGTGTGTCAGCTTATTAACAAGGGCAAGGAAAGACAAAGAGAGCTGGTTACTTTTTTCCCTGGAGGCACGAGGTTCTGGTTGGTTTTGAGGATGTGTGTCAGAGCCTTCTTGATGTTTTTCTCCTTCATGCTGGACAGCACAGCAGGAGGCAGAAACAGTGACAAACCCCACTCTTTTCTGTCGAGAGAAGATTGATTTCAGCATAAAGCAGCCCTTAGAAAAAAAAATCCTTCCACAGTTGGTTAAAAAACAGCTACAAATTGGGAGGGAAGCTGTTAGTAACAACAAAACGATGAATTGACTTTCAGGTGGACAGCTTTGTCAAAGGGGAAAGTGTTTCCTCAACAGGACCTTAAAAATGTGAGAGAGCTATCTGCGCCGAGACCCTAATATTTACAGTGCTTTACTCAGTGCTGGAGGACAAGTTAAATAACGGCAGCCAGGCGGATTCCCTTACTTACACTGGGACTGCACAGAAACAGATGTGTCAACATTATATTGCCATATAAAAGTACAATAACAGCATTTTCTTGTAACTCTCAATTGATTAAAAAACAAACAAACATCCTGACTGTTTGCTAAAGTCATACTTCTTCTAAAGGAGACCGGTTATGCTCATTTACAACTCTATTTTTTTGTACTTAGACTCTACAAGGGTAGCTTTGCATATTTCATAATTCGAAGTACTCTTCATTTTTCTCATACTGAGCCACTGTCTCCTGTTTTAGCTCCTCTCCCTTTAATAATAATAATAATAATAATAATAATAATAATAATAATAATGGATTGGATTTATATGGCACTTTTCAAGGCACCCAAAGCGCTTTACAATGCCACTATTCATTCACTCTCACATTCACACACTGGTGGCCATTAAGGCCACCCTGCCTCTAACCCAGGTTTCTCTTAATTGGCTTTCTAATTGATGGGTGGGGCTTCCTTAAAACATTCATATTAGGGATATCCACACTGAGTGACATTAAATAAAGTGTGAAACAGAGTGAAAGGGCATATAAAATCCAGCCGCAACCTGACTTCAGCCCATTTGGGCAATATGATGATGTTATTATTTAATCCTTTGGCCATCTTTAATATGAGCATCCACCACTAAAAATAACGGTTTAACTGTTGTCTAAAAACAGGAAATTTACCATTTAAAAAGGTGTCTTTAGTGTTAAAATTTGTCTACGTGGGTAGTAGTTACAGTAGTTACTCCATGTAACCCCGCCTCTTCGAGTACTGAGCACTGATTTCTTTTACCTTTGCTTGTGTCGGGTGACTAAACTTTATTCTATCGTGGTTCCTTTGGCACTCCTTACCTGTGCCTCTGGATGCATCATCATCCTACTATTACAATGTATGTATGTATAATCGTTCCCAGACCTCCCAGAACTGGCTCAATCTTGATTAAACTTGGCCTAAAAACTACTTTGGGTACCAAGATTCATAAATGGCAAATGGCATGTATTTGTATAGCACTTTACTAGTCCCTAAGTACCCCAAAGCGCTTTACACAACCAGTCATTCACCCATTGATGATGGCAAGCTACATTGTAGCCACAGCCACCCTGGGGCGCACTGACAGAGGCGAGGCTGCCGGACACTGGCGCCACCGGGCCCTCTGACCACCACCAGTAGGCAACAGGTGAAGTGTCTTGCCCAAGGACACAACGACCGAGACTGTCCAAGCCAGGGCTCGAACCGGCAACCTTCCGATTACAAGGCGAACTCCCAACTCTTGAGCCACGATCGCCCCATAACATTAACATGGTGATTGATTAAAGTATTTATCTCACATAAAAAGTAACTGTTTCTGTTTATCTGTATTTGGATATAGAAGTTGCATGATTAAGGCAGGTTCAAGAATCTATGCCATTTTCAGGTATGCATTTAGCAGTCATTTAGTAGTAATTAAGCTCTTAAGGTTTTATGGGTAGATCATGCAACAGAAAAGATATCTATAACAATCAACATAAATAGCTGACAATATTGGTTGTACCACATACACAATGGGGTATGACTACTATTAAGTTACATCTTCCTATTGTATTTCTAATGGGTCCAAATTGTTGGTAATTGAATGGACTTCGATTACAATTCTCAACTGTAACTGTATCAGGTTTTTACAAGATAACTTTTTTAGAGCAAAACTTGCATCAATGGTGATTATTAATGCTGATCACTTAATCACTGATGACGATTTAGAGGTGGGTTAATATCTCAACACTGAACTGCAGAATACTGAAAAAAACATAATTTAAGAAACTAGAAAATATTACCTTTTAAATTCAAGTCTCTTCATTATAGGCGAACATTTTCTAACCCTACACAGTGTGCTCACTGCTAGTCATATATTCATGTACAAAGATTATTCGAAAATATTTTTGTATTATTTGGAGTTTTATTTTACCCGTATCATATTCAAACTAATAATCAGCCATGAGTTTTGATGTAAGCACATCTGAGAATGCCATAAATTTTCTCAAGTTGCCATTAACAACAGTCTGACAGTGTCAGCAAACTATTCAAGGAAACATTTCTTTCTGTTATGTGATTTTTTTGTTTAGCCAGAAAGATGCATTCATCCAAGAAGGGAACAAGGGCAACGAATTCGAATAATGCCAGATAAACTTTTGCAAAACCATCAGAAAACTTTTAGAAAAAAAACTCTGTTATTTATTATTAATGATGAGCTGCAGCCTGTACAAGAGTTTTACATTTACAGACATGTTAAGAGTGTCAAAAACACACTCGTACCCACAACTGCATTTACATGCACACTTACTGGATGTATTTCAGGGAGACCTTCTGACTCTGTCTGGTTGTCATGGTGAGGATGTACATCTGCAATGCAGCCAATCGCAGCGCAGCATCATACTTGAGCTCCTGGCCAAACCGCTCTAAGACCACATCGTTACAACTCTGCAGCAAAGGAGAAAGTTACGTAAGAGTCCTTACGTTTTTTGGGGCTTGTGAAGCGCATTTCATCTCTACAAAGAGCTATTCGAGCACCAGCGCATCCCCACTGAGCTGTAATAAGTTGTTCACAACCTCTGTGGCTAGAGATCCCTTCAAAGGGATGCGCTGTAGCTTCCAGTCCCAGATGAAGGACTCGGAAACACAAAATGGTGAACTCTGACAGAAAGAAAAAAAAGATGATTAACTTGGCTTCTCTCAGGCTATTTCACTTGACTAATTATCAAAGGAATCCTCAGGAAGCAATTTATTATTTCAGAGGGAAGTAGTTCATACAACAGTTGATATAAAGACTTTATTTGCAAATGAGGATTTTTGTCTTGAAAGGATTAATTCTCCACAAAACTAAGTAAGTCTGTAGATCATGAAAAATAATTTCCAAACCATCTGGCAGCAGAGGATTTGGATGTATTTATATTTAACAGTCGACAAGTCTCACCTCGTGCTCATGCTGCTACTGTTGCCACCGCTCACCTGAACATAGAGGTATTCAAACGCAACAGCGTCTCTCCGTAGCAGCTCCACTGGGTCCCTGGGGACAAAGCTGATTCTAAAGAAACACTTCATCTTGTCACAGCCGGGTCTCTGAGTCACCTGGGGTTGAAAAGCACAGACAAAGAGAAGCGTGAACATGTGAAAACACAGTAAACAAGCTACGTGTAAGTATATGCAGAAACTCAAGTTGTTCAAAAGTTCATGTTGGATCATTACGAGCTTTGAGAGTCATCGTACCAATCACTATCAGAGGTCATGTGGGGTTTTTCAGTAAGTGCAACACCCTAAATCATGTCCCGTTTTATTGCCTTTTTTTTTCTTTTACATGGGACAAAGATGAACATCATCCTTTAATTAAAAAAAAGACTTGAAGCTAGTTTGATTTAATAAGACTGGCTTCACGTCTTATTAAATAAGATCATAAACCCAAGAAGAAAAGTCTTATTGTTGTATTCACTCAAGTGAGAAGAAGGGTCATTTTTAAAACGAGATTCAAAGGGTCAGTCACTGGTTTCTAGGCCTGTGTGACTGGGGCCTAAGGTGCTCAAATATTCTTTCAATTTCAAAGAGAAGTAGTGAAAAAGTAGGATGACACTCCAATTACAGTTTACTTCCCAGATTTTGGGAATGCACCGACGTCCTGTTATCTTAGCCTGTGTTTGTATATGTATGTAGGTATGGGTGGGCCAATCTGAAGCAAGCCTTTCACAGACATCATCACACATACACTACTAAGATCTATATGTTCTTAAAAAAGAGTTATCATGAATCTCAGTCCTTTTGATTTTTAGTTTATTTCATCATCATAACCGAGTGAATGTTATGTTACTTTCCATATGATTCAAATGTCCTACTTATGTCATCTGTTCAAAACTTCACATTTACTAAAATTTGTATTTGCGATTAAATTTTTGTTCGAGTCACTACTAAATACAGAACGTAAAAAAATGGCATTTGTGTCTATATAAAAAACTAACTCAAACTAATTCAAAGAAATGAAGTTAATAAATAGTTATATGAGAAAATAAGTTAATAATTAATAATGACTGCATGTCAGCTTAAAAGCTCAGGTTCATTTTGTGACAACCTATAGGGTAGTTAACTGGTTTTTACCAGGCTTACCATCATCATCGTCGTATTTTAAAAACCAATTAAACTAAATAAACTCTGAAAAATAACCACTTATTATGGGTGTCAAACCAGTGCAAAATCAAACTGCCAAAAAATGTGAATCATCAAGTAAAAGTCTTAAATTTATGAATACATTTATGACCAGTGGTGAACATATATAGCATTGGCTGCAGAAACATTAGTAATGGTACAAAAGCAACGACAGCAGCAGCAGCAGCACTGTTTTGTTTTGTTTATTCATAGCCATATTAGTTGTATTTAGACCACTTTGCAACCTAAAGACATGCTTGTGCAATCCAGCAGCAGTAACCTAGAAAAACCTCACTTTGCTTGCTGTGGTTGTTCATGCATTTGCTTCCATCCTCTATTCAAGACAAAACCACAAGACTGGCATCGTCTTTTAAATATTGATCATATTTTGTAAATTATTTAATATTGCGTTGTGTAGAAAGGGCAAGAGTTTTTTTTCTTTTAATCTATACACTTCAAGAGTTACCAGCTTCCTCAAACACACCTGTCCTCAGTAGTGACACTCGGGTGTATTACAGTATAGAGAATGGTTTTCAGACTCTCAAAGAGTCTTCAGCCATTGTGTGTGCCACGTGCAGAGCTCTTCACATCTGAACTGTGTGGCATGAATATTAATATTGTCCTCCTGTGATGAACCCTATTAGAATATACTGGGCACTGTGTATGTGTGTGTGTGAGTATGGTTGTGTAGGTGTAATGTGAGCTGTCGCCACTCCTGTGCAAGTGCTGATAAATGACACTGGGGTCTAAATGCTGCTTGAATACTGAGCAGGAATGTGTGTGTGTGTGTGTGTCTGCCAGTTGTTGTGTGTGAAAGACAGAAAAGAAGGCAAAGAAAGTGAAAAGAACAAGGCAACATCCCCGACCTGAGTAAGCATCTCCTGTTCGTGCAGGAGAAGCAGTTTACTCTCAGAGCCTTCGGTCCTCTGTTCCAACACCAGGGAGAAGTGCTCGATGCATTTGATTGACAGCTTCTCTTGCAGGGTCAGGATAACTTCCTGAAAGAATAATAGAAAAACTCACAATAACAGATTTTAACTGTTCTTGAAAACCTTCCTCAGGATACCTTTAAAATAAAAAAGACTTTTAAGCACACTTAAAAGGGACCTATTACGGTTATTTCCAACTTAATATTTTAAGTCTAGGGTTCTACTGAAGCTTTTTATTCTTCATTGGCTATCAAAAAAACCTACTGCTCTTATACTGGGACTCTCATGGGCTTCACCCATGACAGTCAAACATAAGGCATGAGGGCCATAATCGGCCAGACAAAGACAGCAGTCCAACCCACTGGATTGTATTACAAAATATGACAAAGGTGATCAAAGGTGTTCATAAATGTTGGACTTTTAATTGTGTTTTCATATGTTTTACACATACTATTGAATTTGCACTTCTTTTTTTTATATTATATTTCAGAATTTAAATGTGTTGTTAAACTTCTTCACACTGACAGAAAGAGAGGTTTCACTAATTTGGCGAGTCTGAAATATGTCTTTTTTTTTATCATCCTTCCCTTCAGGACAAATATCTTCTGATTTCCTGCCTGTTTGTGAGAGTCAGCCAATCAGACAATTTAAAGAAATTTAAAGGGTGAGGGTTCCACTCATACCCAAAACTATGTCTTATTGAGATTACTTTCTATGACATCATACATTGCCAAAAGAAGAAAAACAGTCTTAAACTGAGTGATGAAGAAAAGTCTGTAGAAAACTCTTCAACCTTCAGTAATTCTGTTGTAGATTTATTGCCTTGCCTGGGTTTATTGTCCTGTTGCATGACCCAATTTGGCCAAGCTTTAGCTTTTGAACAGATACATATTTGACTCTAAAATACTTTGGTATACAGAGACGTTTATGGCTGACTCCGTGACTGCAAGATACCCAGGTCCTGTAGTTCCAAAACAAGACCAAATCATCACCACTCCACCACGTGCTTGATAGTTGGTATGAGGTGTTTGTGCTGATGTGTTATGTTTGATTTTCACCAGACATGATGCTGTGCATTATGGTAAACATCTCCATTTTGGTCTCATCTGTCCGAAGGAAATTGCTGTTGAAGTCTTGTGCATGGTGAATCATTGCAAGGCCTGACTCTGGAGTGAATATATAGAAGTGCTCATACTTGGTGATGATTAGCATCTGATCAGCAACACTTATGCTGCTAATTACCTTCTTAATTCCTTAACATATTCTGCACTGGATTACAATATAAGCATATCTAAGTGTTTAAGTAGGTCATGACTACAGTTCCATGCAGGGAAGATATGATGGCATTACGCCTGAATTTTATGCAAAACTGTTATTTTTCCTGTGTTTGTAACATAAACTAAATGACAGAAGCAACAAAGTTGTGTGGAGTGCAGGATAACTTATTCTGTTGGTAACTTTATATAAAAAGGTCAAAGCATGTTTTAGTAAGTAAGGTGTCTTGCTTCCAGCAGGCCTGTCACTCATCTGATTGCTGCTTGCTTTTGGAGCTTTGGTAGTAACACATTTGCATGAGGTGTACCTCAACAGCAGCAGTTCAAACAGTAGCAGTGTGCAGCGATCAAATAGGTGAGCTCAGGTTAAAAGAAAATGTAGCAGCTGTGACTGAGTTCATCAAAGAATCGTCCACTTTGACCAGGTGCAGCACCTCATTCTGATCCCGAAAATCTCGTCTTTAGTCAGTAAATGCTGTCTCCTATTCACTGTATACCCCAACTTGATCATTTGGCATCACCTGGCAGCTTTATTCTACTGGTCATTTCTGTCCCAACCACTGGAGAGCGGTGAGTAAGAAAGATAAAAGGCAATTTCTGTCCAGGTTAGGATGACATCCTTTGCTGTGAGGTTGAGAAAAAAGAAAGTCATTATGCCTCTTGCTTTCTGAATTCGCTCTGGGAGTTTCAGAGGATCATAGCTGAATAAGAATTAACAAGTCAAAAAATGAGAATACGCTCTTTGTCGCCTTGACTGAATAACTAAAGAGCTCAAACAAATGGAAGTGAATTTCACGGTCCGCGCGTGTGTTAAGACTCACTAATTTGGACTCTTGATAACATCCCCCTACTGTAATTACAAATGCAGCAGAAGCTGCTTATTTCATGACGTAAGCCTTAAGTTGTTGCACACACATACCTTGATGGAGGTACTACTGTCAAAGCGAAAGGACTTTGTCTGCCCGTTCTCCAGGTAGACCTTTAGGACATTTGGCATGAACAGAAGAGAGTTGTCCTTCATCGGGTTCTGCAAAGGAGGGACAGGATTAGTCTTTTCATTCTGTGCACGTGCCGTGGGTTCAATACATGGAAGGAATTCATAAAAGTGCGATGTCGTAACTCATTTATGTGACTGTCTTACATCCATTGAAATCGCTGTCTAAAGTGGAAACCAGCTGGCATTGCCTATATAGGTCATACAAGCTCGTGTGTATGCGCGAGTGCGTTTGTTTGTGTGGTAGAACTGACCGGAACCTGGCCGTTTATAATGACCTCCTCAGCAAAGCGTACTTTGACCGGATTGGACTTGAGCATGGCTTTTTTGGCTGCACTGATGAACGCTGATTTAGGGGACTAGGAGGCAAGCGTCCAAAAAGTGATAGAGAGAAAGCAAGCAAGAGAGGAGAGGAAGGGAAGAAAGAGACAAACAGATGGAGAGAAAGAGATCAACAGGAAAATCGATGTTCAAACAAACAAAAAAAA